ATAACATTATAACATGATATAAAACTCAAAAAAGTTTATTTTACTTGATATTACTCCTTTACAATTTCGCAAAAAGGAAAAAGAAAAAAAGGAAATGTGAATCAGACATGTTTCCATCAACTGGCTTGAAGCGAATCAATTACGACACGTGCGTGTAGTAAACAGGAAGTAAAGTCGCAAATCCGCAGGGTCCACACATCTCAGGAAAGTGGAGAGAAGTTATCAGGAAAGTTGTAATTATTCTGTCAAATCAACTGGTTCTGGTGATGTTACTGCTGTCTGTAGAGAGAGAAATGTAATTATCTTGACKTTATGGGAATAACTGAGAAGACGCCGACATCAGGAGGAGGGTCCTGCTGCAGTCGCAGCTGTAGTCGCACTGGTACCGGTGTTGTACGAAATTCAGYYCCCCAGTGAAAATCTGTTCCCCGTGTTGGGAGCACCTCCCTCATATTAACCATTTAGGATTGTTCTGACATCATACCTGGACCAGTGATTCTCTCTAAGGTTAACCAGTAGGGGGAACAGATTTTCACAGGGGAACTGAATTTTGCACATCACCGGTACCGTTCAGACAGCGGGAACAGCTGATCAACCATGTGAGGTAAATGTTCGCTACGTCAGAACTTATTCACTAAATGTGTTTCCATCTCTCCTTCAACACATCGACTCTTGTCGAAAACTACCTCAAGCGAGCGTATCAATGTTTTTGCAAATTAGATGAAGTTTTTTCAAGTCGAGCTGTTTCCATTCACCTTTTCTGATGCGATACTTCAAAATGCAAATTAAAAAAACGTTGATGGAAACACGGCCACTGACACATTAGTAATCTGGTCTCCAGTTGGAGAACCGAACCCCTGAATCTTTAAAACCCTGATGTACGTTTTCTAAAAACTTCTAAAGCTTCAGGTTCAGTGTGAAACATGACGTCTCTTCAATGACTCACTGAGGACGAGGACACCTCTGGACACGCAGACCAGTATTTAAAAAGTGTCTTAAGGTGGTTCTGGTCCTGATGAGAGTCCTCTCAGTCTGAAACCATGAGACTGAGAGTAAAACTCTAAACTGATCTCTGTTGATGAAATTCTGTTTCTGCATCTTTAAATATAAATTAATAAAATACCAGTTCTGTTTTATTTTATTTGATCAAACTGTTTGATGATTAAAGCTGACAGAAACAGACCTTCTGACAGTCTCCTCCAGGCACGATTTCCTGAATGAACACCATTGGTCCTTCGGCTCGGTTGGCGCCGCCTTTGACGACGAGGCCCAGGCCCGTTGCCTTGGCAACACATATCAACTGAATGACGCTGTCGCTGATGGAGAGAAGAAGAGACGAGAAGATGATGTGGTTAAAAGACAGACAGACAGACAGACAGACAGACAGACAGACAGACAGACAGACAGACAGACAGACAGACAGACAGACAGACAGACAGACAGCTGCAGAGCATCATAATCTCTAACCCTCCTCCTCCTCCTCAGCTGTAAAAGTGCTGAAGATGCTTCTCAGTATTTTTAGTTTGCTCAGTTGAACAGTTTCTGTCAGCAGAGAAACTTTCTGTAAATCCTGACTGAAGCTGAATCAAACTGGAGCAGAGAGAACATCCTGTGTTTCTTAGCTTCTTCAGTGAGTCACATATTAMGGCTGTGTCCAAAACGGCAGGCCGGGTCCTCCGAAGGACCCAGCCTACATGGTCGAGGTGGGCCGGGTCATGTGAAGGACAGGGAAGGATCCATTCTACAGGTAAAGGACACTGAAGGCATCATCCTATGTGTAAAGGACAGTGAAGGCATCATCCTACATGTAAAGGACAGTGAAGGCATCATCCTACATGTAAAGGACAGTGAAGGCATCATCCTA